AAAAAAAAAAAAAACCCCCCTCCGCCAGCCCCTGTCTCCGCTGGAGTTTCTCTTCCAGGAGTGGCGGAAAGTGGCTGTTCCTACCTGGTTTAGCGTAACTTGACGCTGGGCCCCCTTCTTGCCCCGCTGAAAAGGAAGCCCACTGCCCTCCCACCCCTGCTCGGGTCTGACGGAGGGGGGGGGACCCAGCGAAAGCCGTGTGTGATGGGGGAAGCAACAGGTAAACCCCTGCGCAGGGCCGCCAAAAGCCATCGGGACAACAGGTAAGCCCTAGCCGGCTGGGCCACCAAAGAGCCGTGGGTGAACAGTGGGGGCAACAACAAAACCCTCCCTGGCCAGGATGCCTCATTTTTCCAAGCTCTTACTGCTTTGACCCACTGCTGCTTCTGTCGGAGGTCCCTGTTGTGCCTTCAGGGCAAGCGGGTTTAGCGGCTCATGTGGAAAAGCCAACAGGGCCACTGGGCAAGGTGAGCCAGCAGACCTGATGCAGACATGGATGATGCCACCTCCACTTTCGATGCTCGACATGAAAAACAGCAAACAAACACAAATCACGTGTTCCGACCCCAAATGAGAAACACGTTTAGGCTCCGCGGGAGTCAAAGGCAGCCTGGGGGTTGCTCTCCAGTGCCTTCAATAGCTGTTTGAGGGTTGTGCTGAAAGGGTGTGCACAGCTACTGCCAAACTGTATTTTTGGTTAGTTGCATTTTAGCTTTTAAGGGGGAAAAAGACACTGTAAAGTGGTCCTTTCTTGGAAACCAGGCTAACTTCCACTAAGCAAAATGAGGGGAGCTTAGTAAAAAGATGAGAGGTTTACCTTTAACAATTTAGGGTGAAGAGACTTTTCCAGAGAATGCGAACTAGTATTTGCACAATTATTAAGCTGGCCTTAAAATGAATTTTGAGTGAAACTTTGTTTCCCAACCAAATAACAGTAATAAATACGTACATATTTACAGAGGAATGATTAGGCCCAGTGTTGCAGCCTTTCCCACAGCTAAAGCCCCCTTTGCAACCAGTAAGCAAATGGTACAAGTTGCAGCTCTTAAGCTGCTGGGTAAATGCTAAACACTGCTTTTGATTACACTTTTTTTTTTTGAAAAAAAAAAAAGGCAAACTAAGGTTATAGATGTGATAAGGAAATACACCCACAGGGAAGATTGTACTCGCCCAGCGTACAGTTACATCCCAAAAGATTTCAACTGAGAGCTAGCAGAAATAAGGGGGAAAATAGTCATGACATGCATGACATGCATGTTTGTTCATTTTGAAACTGAATTGCTGTAACTGTTTTCAATCTGCTGAAGTTGTCAGTTCCTTTGGACCAAATTCTGCTTCTTTTGTTCACATGTATATTCATACTTAAAAGACAAAAGAACTACATTTGTTAGGAAGGTAAGCAGAATTTGGCCCTTTCAACACAAGCTGCAGGGGGTAAAAGGACTCTAGGAAGCCAATTGAGAAGGACTTTAATATGTTTGACTTTACTACCAGCTAAAAAAAAAAAGAGGAACATTTTGAATTGGGCTGGAAATATGAAGAACAAACAAGGTAAAGTCAATGTTCAGATACACAGCAAATTTCTTCAATCTATTTTATGTTTTCTTTTTTTATTGTTTCAATAGTTAAAGTAAAAATATAGGAGGAAGTTCTCCTATGTATATGTCTGGGGAAATTGCCCTATAAAACAGAGCCCCCACTGGTGTTCATTAGTTTTAACAAAGAGGCTGGTCATAGGTTAATGCCGGTAGAGGGTCTCATAGCCCACCACATGCTAACTGTCATCTGACAGACTTCTTTTGGAGTATACATCCAAGAGAATGAAAATTAAAGAAGTAAAACAATAGTTTCATACTGCAGTTATTTTGCAGAGTGAATTATGTTGCATCCACATGTACTGTACCAAAAAAAAAAAAAAAGCTTTTAATTTTATTAATCACAAAGGCACCAAAAGTGTTTTTCCTTTACTGCATGTATTGCATGCTGACTGAAATTCACTGTGAATTTGTAAACTAGAAGAAATACTGTCTTCTAACTCAATAAAGAGCAAAAAATAAAAGAAAGGCTCTATTTGCTCCGGGAGGTTCTTAGAGCTGCACGCCATGTCTGAAGAGTTGCTGCCTGTTGGCACTGGGAGTGACTCATGCAGAATCAAAGTGCATTATGAGAGGATTGTGTTGGCTCGTGGGTGCCCAAGTCTCACAATGGTCCAGACTGTCTCACTGCTGGGGAAAAAATGCCGAGAAGGAGCTAAATATTGTGTCCTTGTTCATCCTTCCTGGTTGACATAAGTCAGTCTTGTTTCATTTGAATCAAGGGAGATTGGGCAATATCCCTGTGGTAGCCTCTCCTCCAGTGTGCTGAATTTGCATAACCAACTGCACATATGGTGCTGCCTGGTCCAGCAAAGGACTCAGAAATCTCATTTCATCAGTGTAACGAAATCTTGCATGTCAGTGCCTGAATCCCATGTAGGTGACATCCACAGATAGCTCCAGAGCTCTCTCAAAGACTAGATCTCTGCCTCCCTTTGCTGCTATGGGTTTGCTTAAGTCTGGCCTGCTCATGAGTTTTTTTCCCCATCTCCCAGGAAGTCTATTTCAACTTAATTACAGGGATTAAGACCAGTATGGGGAAAAAAAAAAAAAAACTTTTGAATTTAATATGTCAGCTCCTAAGGAGACAGAGAATCGGTCAGGGAATTTTCATGGTTTATTTTTTTGACTTTAGTTAATCGTCTAGCTGTAAAAGCTATCAAGCTTATGCATAAAAAATTGGATTAAAATTACCTCAGCTTTACAGCGTATACAAGCTTGCTTCAAGTAATTATTACCAGAAGAAAAAACTTTAATCCTCTTCACAGAGATTTGGTTGATAATTATTTGAGCATAGTTTTATATGTGTCTGATTGATGATATCATTGATTTTCATCTTCTTTTTAGTCTCTGGGTACATTCGTTTCAAATTTTTACAACTTAACAAAATAAGCTAGATCAATGGAAGAAACTATACTTCTTTGGATGGGGCTTACTACCTTAAGGCCACATATCATATGACTGTCAAGATTAGAAACAGAAACTCATGTCTTCCTGTTCCTAGGGTGCTTTGCAAATGTTATCTCAGTATAAATAAACTCGTACAAAATGCAGGTTGAACAAAATGCTTTTTTTTTTTAAATAGGTGAGATATATGTGAACAAATGCAAACTTCTCAATTTAAGCATGAAAAAAATGAGGGTTTTTTTCCTGTTTTAGAGAATGTTGTTACATATCCTCGAACTAAACACTGTATTTCCACTGCCTGTTAGCTCACAGATGCTGGATGTTTAGCCTGTAATTCTATATTGTTATTTTCATGCTCAAATTGAAGGATTTATTTAAAATGTATGTATTTAAGACCACTTCAAACAACTTTTCTTGAGCAAACCTTGCTTTAGAGCAAATCTCACACTTATATCTAAACTCCATAGTGCAATCAGATGACCTGGAGAGTAAGGTGTGTGTCAAACTATTGTGAGCTTAATATTCTATGTTCACAGTATTGCTTCCAGTGGTGTAAATCGCAAAGATTTGAAATGTATAAAGCTGAGTTCATAGATAAATGTGATTAGGTTCCTCCACCAATTCCTCCTGTATTTAGGTAATTCAGTTAAATTTGTGTAAGTCATGGTCCTTAGCTTGTGAGCTATTTCACAAAGTCATGCTGGGAAATTAATCAGGATCTCTGTCAGTGATACAAGGCAAATAAAAGCAAACAAAGTAAAAACACACTTTACTGAAATTAAAAATACCTTTACAGTGTTCTATAAGTATATGTAGGCTGTTTGGCAAAATTATCATGTCACTGACTTTTGCGTTATGCGTTTTGCGTTTTGGTAACTTTTTTCCTCAGAAAAACTGGTGCTTGGCACTGACAATTTGACAAAAAGTTTGGTCTGCACAGTGAAATGAGCCAAAGTGCTCTGCTCGCATAAAAGACACTTAGATAAATGACAGCAAAGCTCACTGTGAACCCGAAGTCCCCACAACTTGCACTAGCTCCCTCCAAATTGCTCTACTATGCTCTGTCGCACACGTAACTTGATCAATTGTGGGGAAAAAAAAGGCTTGTGCAGAATCATCAGTTTTGCCACTGCACACCCATAAGAAATAGTTCTCACTTGGGGAATGTCACAAAAGCTTCAAACTCCGTCAGGTCACCAGTTGAAGAAAATAATTTACTAGTTTAGGAAGACTGCTTCTCTCCATGAAGCAGAAATCTGACCTCCCCCTTTTGAATATAAAAAAGGAAGTTAAAACAACAAAAGAAATAAACTAGTGCCTGCAGGCATTGGTTTCTTTTCTCCATTAAAGATTTCAAAGCTCTCCTTGATTTCTTCCATGACAAAAAGAGATCCTTTCCTCTTCATAAAAATTATGAACTTCTGTCCAAATTTGAATTACTTAAACAAAAGAAGAAAGTGTATTTGGTAATTTTTTTAAGAGCATGAAACAGAAGGTCAGTATGACTTTCTTCCTGGTTAAAAAGATGGTAAAGAAATGTTTAATTTGCATTTAAGTAAATGCTGAGAAGGACAAACAAAATTAAAACAAAAAATTCTAGCTAAAATCTTCCATCTTCAAGCAGAGAAAAAACAAAAATAATAATGCAAGATGGTGCAGGACATTGGAAATGTCTTAGAACAACTGCTTTCGTTGACAGTAAAAATGCACTTGCTTTTGTTCAGAAATAAACTACCCAGCTTTAAATATTCAGGTAGAAAAAAAAATAGTAAACATGGTACATCTGCATAATAAAAATAATTTTTGAAGAGAGCAACAATGATTATTCTTTAGAATATTTTCCTTCATAATTTCAAAACTGTATCCTTAGAAAGGCAAAGTAGGTGAGAGCACTAATTGGTAAGAGCTCTTTAGATGGTGTTTTGAATTAGACTTTGGTAAATATTTAGGCCCTCCAGGTAAAAATTAAGGGCCCAGAATTTCCTTGATTTTCATAAATTAATTTACCCAAGTGCATAAATCTTTTTGAAGTCAATGTATAAGCCTAAAATTATTGTCATAGTATGCATGCAATTGCAGTCTTGTTCCAGTCTTTATAACTTACCTATATTCAATGCCATATACAGTTGCATCATCAGAAGCTGCAGACTGAGATTTCTGTCACAGGGCAGAGAAGAGATGCTGTAGCACAAAGTACATTGGGGGAATTCTTTCACAAATTAATTGACACATTGCATGGTTCTTCTTGGT